AAACCGGGAATAACTCGATAGATAAGGCCAGACACAAGCAACAGTTATAACAGTCATAAGGAGTTCATAATAGATGAGGCAAGTAGGGCAAGCATAAGCATTAATCATAACCCATCATAAACAATCCCCAATATGAAACCCATAGTCACAACCCAAGGCACTCGTAGTCACAACTCGTCCGTATCACAACACATAACGCACGTTGTTGGCGCCACAGGACCACTCGCATGCCCATAAATGCGGGTCAGCGCATATAGCTCTGACACGGCCCCACAGCACCATGCCCCGTATCGCAACACGGGGAGGTCGATCGCAACCGACCGATGAACCGCAGCTCATCATAATGTTTGATCGCAACCAAACAGTGGACTGTAGCCCAAGAGAGTGTGTCATCTGACTGTAGCCAGGAATTCCCATCTGACTACAGCCAGCCTCTGAACCGCAGCTCAGGAAAATGTCATCTGATTGCAGCCAGGAATTCCCATATGACTACAACCAGCTTCTGAACCGCAACCCAGGATACCGTCATCCGACTGCAGCCAGGAATTCCCATCTGACTATAGCCGGCTTCTGAACCGCAGCTCAGGATAACCAATCCGATTGCAACCGAATTGGGGCAACACGCACACATAACACATAGCAAGCACATACAACCCACATTACACATTGAGAAGGGGAATAAAACGTATAACGAAACCTAAGCGTGATCCAACACATACTAAGAATGGTCCTAAGGGGATCATACTTCTTCCTCCTAGGTCAACGGGATACCAATTCAACTAGCATGCAATACCTTAGACTCATAAACCTACGAACGGTACCCGAAATATCAAACTAGACATAGGCACGACAAACGGGGTCCGTTGGGACACCACGGGGATCGGGGAAACATCAAACGGGGAAGCCGGGGTCCCGAGGGGAGAAATTTCCAGCGGGTAGCCGGTGGGTGGGGGTCCACCCGCCGACTGTCACTGTTCCGGGCAGCGGGTGCCCGGCGGGCAGCTGCCCGCCCGCCGGCTGCCCACTACCGGAACTGCCCGAAGTTGCCGCGGGTAGGTGGCGGGTCCCCTACCCCCACCTACCCCCCACTGACTCTTTTCATCACCTTTCGCCCCGGGAACCGTTGTGGAACCCGAAACCATGCTTAGACACTTTACAACGCAATTAACGACAACACGTAGACAATTAACGGATCAAATACGAGAGACGAACGGCACCTAACCTATCATGCTTTTCTAAACATAATCAACACCCAAACATGCGATTTCCCCACCCGATAATCCAAGAATAATAACATACGATACAACCTAGGGTTCTAATCACTTTTATATCAACAAGAATACGATTCATCTTTTAATTGCAAGATTCGGTAAGAATAACACATAAACATCAAGGATGCCAATTAATCATCAAGAACATCATAATCATCAAGAACAACACATAATCATCAAGGATCCCAAATTAATCATCAAGAATATCATCATTATCAAGAAACTCCCAATTATCAAGATTATCAAGATTCCCCATGGAATCATCAAATCAACATCAATAATAATCACCATAATTTCGCCATTCACAATAATATGGGGGAAACCCTAAGGGGAAATCATAGCTATGAAAATAGGTTTTGTTGAGACATGGGTTACCTCTTAGCCTTAAATAATTCCTTGGCTATGAAGGATCTTTCTTTAAGCTTTCTTGCTTTCTTGATTTCTCCTAGGGGAATTCTTGGAACTCTTTGGATGGTGAGAGATTATTGTGGTGGGAATTCTAGGTGTCTCCTAAGTTCCCTATTTATATATTTAAGACTCCTAATTAGGGCCTGAATGGTATGGGTTTACTAATTCTATTCCTTATAGGACTTAGGGACTTGTTATAGGGATAATTAAAGCGGATCACAATCTGAATAGTAAAAGGCCTACTTCTTTTATTCCTAATGGATAACTAGGTCTAGGATTCTTAATTAGGATCTGAATAGTAAAAGGTTTACTTTCTTTATTCCTAATAGGCTTAAGCCTCTAATTTAGGCAAGGGTCCATGGTTCATGGTGGACCCTATTAATTAATTAAAGGCGACCCTAACATAATTAAATCATATTTAATTATTATTAACGGGATTAATTAAATAATTAATCCAGGATTGAAGGCCGTAACACGGGGTGTTACAGAAACGGCGAGAAACGGATGCTGTTTCTTTTCATTAAACAAATTAAAATGACGTCGTTTTGATGCACGGTGCGTAATTGATTATGCAACGCGGTGCACGATCTAATTTGCCCAATTATTTAAACGAGTAAATTGAATGCATGATCATCAACACAAATCATAAACGATCACAATATTCAACTAAAATTAGTAATTAGTGATTCATTTAAGACCAAATGCTCTTTATATATATAGGGAAGGGTTCAGTTGTAGGGAAGGGTTCATGTGTGGTTGTGCGAAGGGCGCACCTTAAGCATTAAAATGACGCACTTTAAATACACAAACCATGCACCTTAAACACACAAACAAAACACCATAAGAACACAAACCACGCACTTAAGAATACAAATCACGCATCTTAAGCACACAACAAAGCACCTTAAAAACACAAACAACGTACCTAAGGTCTTAAAATGGTGTGTGTGTGTGTGTGTTCGAATATAGGCATATCTCGTTATTTGTTAAAAAAAACTTTATTCCAAAAATGAGTTATTCCCTACCAGTTGTTATATGATAGACCGCGGTGCATAATCGATTATGCACCGCGGCCCATATACGGCGCCGTTTCTTTAAGTAAAGAAACGGTCTGCTGTTAGAGTTAACGGAGTCCGTTTGTTTGGTGTATTAAACACCAACTGACACTACAGTATATCCAAACCGACACTGCAGTTATATCAAAATGATACTGTAGTTATAGTGAAATGAAACTACAGTGTATATAAACTGAAATTGAATAACATTTCACATATTTGAGTGTATATTGTACAATGAAGCTGTAATTATATCAAAATGATCATGTAGTTGTGTTTTAATAAAACTATAGTGTATATAAAATAAAATTAAATAACATTTTCACATATTTGAGTCTATAAATATCGAATGAAACTATAGTTATATCGAAATGAAACTGTAGCTGTGTTCAACTGAACCTGCAGTGTATACAAAATGACACTGAATAACAGAGTTACTTTTTACAAAAGGGTGCGAAACGGCGGAAATAAACACTGTTAATTTTCATTTAAAAAAAAAAAAGACGCGCAGTGCATAATCGATGATGAACCGCGGTGCATAATATAATTTGCCTTCCCTACAACTTGAATAACCATTTTGGAACCTAAAAAAATTATTTCCATCCTAAATAATAAAGACTTCTCATTCTACCCCAACAATATTATCTCCCTCTCCTTTTATTATTATTATTATTATTTTTTTTTTTTTTAATAAAACCTTATAAAATTTGGCAAACCATAACATCCCCACCTTGCTGGTAATATAATTTATATCGTGCACTACGGTGCACATAGCAATGTGCGTCCAGGCACAAAATGCGCGCGTTTCATGCTGACATCACTCCATCCGTTCAAATAGACCAAACCCTATTATGTGTATTCAATTAAAAATTTATGTGTATTGTGTTATGAGTTTATATGTATTCGGTTAAGAGTTTATGTGTATTATGTTAACCAAACCCCATGCATTATGTTTATTCAATTAAAAGTTTATGTGTATTGTGTTATGAGTTTATGTGTATTTAGTTAAGAGTTTATGTGTATTATATGTTAACCAAACCCCATTATGTGTATTCAGTTAAAAGTTAATGTGTATTATGTATTACCTTAGATTATGTGTATTCTGTTATGAGTTTATGTGCATTCTATTATGAGTTTATGTGCATTCTATTATGAGTTTGTGCATTCAAAATAGATGATCTTTTTTTAACAACTTAACAAAACGACGTCGTTTTGGGAAACGCAGAGCGCACAGTGCTATGTGCGCCGTGGTGCACGATATAACGATTGCACCTTGCCCCTCACCAACCCTAGCATCAATACATACATAAGGTTATAATCTATTAGCCAAATACAGGGTAGACTTACAAAGTAAACACATTAAAATACAAAGCATTAGTAGTTGGTAATGATTGACAATCTACACCTACACCAAGACTCAAACCCTAAACCTCCCACATAGAGGAGCAATTAAATACCAATGAACCACAAGGTCCTTGATTAGGTTAACAAGTATTAAATTATACAATATCATATTTTCAATAATACTTTTCAAAACACAAGTAATACTTTTAAGTGAAAATATAATACATATTTATTGACATGTAAAAAAATATTACATTTTCATTAAAAAGCTATATATTGATATCCGTCTCATGTGAGATCATCTCACACAAGTTTTTGTACAAAATTAAATATCGTTAAAATGCACATTATCATATTCGTTTAAATTTAGAGGTCAAAAACAAAAATTTCAAAATTAAGATATTTATGTGGAACAATTCCCGCTTAATATATCACTTTTTTAAAAAACCAAAACAATAATTCTATTAATACTTTTTTTGAGTACAAATTCTATTACACTTAGTTAGGTAACAGATGGCGAATACAATCCGGTGGGGAGTGTTCCAAGGAGCCAAACTGAGAGCTACCCGCTCTAGCTAAAGCTTGGGCAATCTGATTTGCTGATCAGTTTTTTTTTTTTTTTTTTTTCAAATAATATTATTTTAATTGGAATAGTTGTAATATTACTCGAATACAAATTATAAGACATAAAATATGGATTTTATAAAATTTTATTTAAAGGGTGGGCAGGCGCGAAGAGGATTGCAACTTTAACGGTGACTCTCTTTGTCTGACTACATATAATTAGGTTTTATCTCACGTAAATAATCTCATCTCTTTGTCTGATCACTACTAGGTTTCATAATAATCTCACGTAAATAAATAAATTTGAGAGAGAGAGAGAGAGTTTACGTGAATTTAATTAAGCGCAGCGCAGCGCAGCATGAATAACAGTGAAGAGAGAGCTTCAGGCAAAGATGAGACGAAAGTGGGGTTTTACAAGCTTTTCTCCTTAGCAGATAGGGTGGATGTTGGGTTAATGATCGTCGGAACGCTGGCCGCGGTCGCCGTCGGGATGTCGCAGCCGTTAATGACAGTTATATTCGGCGAGCTTATCAATTCTTTTGGCACCGTGGCTTCACCTCATCTTGTTCATGTCATCTCTAAGGTACGCAATATATATACATATATATTGCATGCAATAATTTTGTTCTTTATACTAATGAATTTCCGTCGAAACCTTCATCGGAAATCCTTTTATGTTTTTTAGCCTTTCCGATCAAATATCACCACGTGAGTTACGTTGTTAGAAAATTTGGTCAGTAAGAGCATCGGTTTAGTAGTAGGCTCTATTTATGAAAAGAAATCAAAGTTGTGTAAGGGAGTAAGGGATTTAACTTTTAGGGAGAAGAAAATTTGGTTACTAAGATTAAAAAAAAAATGTTGGGTCCCGAATAAAAATCAAATTTAGTCAAATTTGTGGGTTCAACCTGGACTATTGGATGGCGTATCCGCGTATGCATAACATCAATTTAGTTTAGGAGATTTTGTTTACTCAAATTAATTGATAAACATCAAAAACAAAAAAAAAAACAAAAAAAAAAAAAAAACAAAATTATAATATCATAATTTATAGTTATATACTTCGTAAATAATAAAAGAAGAAGATATGTTTGTGTTTAATGCTTCTATTAATATAAAAGAGTAATGTTAGACATTCCTCTTAAAAACTTATTTTCAATTTCCATTTATGATACGAGAGTATCTAATTGGATTACTTAGTATTTAATTAATAGTGTGTGGGTCAGCCCATTTATGCACCCAATAAATACAAGCCACATTATTGTGAAGAAAATATTAGAGAAAATTTAAAATTAACAAGTCTGTGATGGATGATTCTCATACATAGAAGTTATACTAGTTCGATTTTGAACAGATGCAGTTTATCTCTTTCTTCTTCTTTTTTTTTTGTTTTTTTTTTTTTGTTTTTTGTTTTTTTTTTTTTTTTTTTTTGAATGATGAAGTTACTGGTTTCTTTTGTTACCCAAAAAAAAAAAGTGTACTTAACTCCATTTTTGTAGTAAAATGTGAATAAATCAATTTATAAAATACTCCATATATGTCTCATTTTATCTATCCCCTACTTATTAGTCATTGTTCAAACTAACTCTTTTTTTGTTTATTTTCTTGAGAGAACTAATCAATTTAGAATTAGTCAATGAACATAAAATGTTGTGACGACTATTACATGATAAATTACTTAAATAAAATATTTGGTAAATTAATTTGATCCAAATAAGTTTTCTGTGCTCGAATATATTGTTCCAAATTAATAAACATGTTGGAGAATCGAGCAAACAATAATCTCTATTTTTTCATGCAAAAAACTGCTCAAAAGGCAAAATGGTACATCTCAACTAAAATTCTAAAGTTTAAGATGGATTGCACATTTGTACATATATTATACGCTCAACATCTTAACTTTTGATCTGTTAATTCTCAGTAATTTTTCTTTGTAGTAAAATTTTAATATCTTTACCAGTGATTTGAACAGAAAAGTTATGTGTTTGTTTATGGATGTGATCATAACATTTGATCTGATATTCAGCTATCCCTCAAGTTTGTGTACCTTGCTATTGGCTCGGGCATTGCCTCATTTTTACGTAAGTGCATTTATCTCTCAGCTCTGATATATCTTTACTATGTTCTTTGACTTGAGGTTCAAGGTTTCTAACCTGAAATATAATGGATGGTGACATTACAGAAATGTCTTGTTGGGTGGTTACTGGAGAAAGGCAATCTGCTAGGATTAGAGGGATGTATCTGAAAGCAATTCTGAGACAAGACATTACCTTCTTTGACACTGAAACAACAGCCGGAGAGGTGATTGGTCGGATGTCTGGTGATACCATTCTCATTCAAGAAGCTATGGGTGAAAAGGTGAGTTTTTTTTTACCATTGATATATACAAAAGTGTTGTAATCTAAGATTTCTAAAATGAAAGCTTGGACGCCACTAAGTAATCTAAGATTATTGTGCCAACATGTACATAATTAATGCACACTAGTACAAAGACAGTTATTCGCGTCCAAAATTAAGGCTTATACGTGTCCAAAGTTGCTTGGACGCGTATGACGCTGATTATATTGTATAAACAATCAGCGTCCAAAGTAACGTTGAATGCACGTAGGCTTAACACATTATTGAAAGATTGAATCCAAGCTAATCTAACAACTGTTGACCTTGCAATTAACATATTATGTACCCTTTAACATATTATGTTCTGTTAATTGAAGGCATGCAATCTGAATATTGTTTTAGACCAGGTCCATGGTATATTTTGACCTTATAAACTCATATGTTTCTCTATTATTTTTAATGCGGTATGGTATAGTACTTTTAATAGGAAGAAGAGAAAAAGAATGTTTTCCACTTTTGTGTCCTAATTACATATCATTTGTAGGTTGGGAAGTTCATCCAGTTCATCTCAACATTCATTGGAGGCTTCATAATTGCCTTCATAAAAGGATGGCTTCTTGCATTGGTTCTGTGTTTATGCATCCCTGTCGTCGCCATCGCTGCAGGAACAATGGCGAAGATCATGACTGGAATGTCAAGCCGCGGACAAATTGCTTATGCAAAAGCTGGGAATATAGTGGAACAGACTATAGGAGGGATTAGAACGGTAAAACCCTGTAATCATTGCTAAAATTAAAAACTTTTTGCTTATGCTGTTGACTTGGTAACTACAAGGGTACGAGTTTAACTATCAGCAAGAGCGTCCTATTGGTTTGAGACCAAGTCTAGGCCTTGTTTACCTCTTTGTGGTCCTTATCGACTAGAGTCACAAGGCAGGGTTTACCCAATGCACGCTACCTGATACTGGTTTATCTCCTTGTGGTCGTTGCTGATTAGGGCAACGAAGTAGGATTTGCCCGTTGCACACCACCAAATTGTGATTGCGGGTTTTCCTCCTGCATACTGTTTACTTGTTTTCAAGTTCCTAATTTTCTTGGCTCTGATTTGGTTGTCATTTTTAGGTTGCCTCATTCAATGGAGAAAAGAGAGCAATAGATAAGTACGACGGGGAGCTGAATGTTGCATATAAATCTACAATACAGCAAGGGCTGGCTTCTGGTTTAGGACTTGGTACTATATTGCTTGTTCTGTTTAGCAGTTATGGGTTAGCTGTTTGGTGTGGAGCCAAATTTATATTGCACAAGGGATACAGAGGGGGAGATGTGATCAATGTCATGATAGCCATTATGATGGGAGGAATGTAAGTAGCACAATTTAATTGTCATTTCAATTAAAGCATTGTTACATCTCAACTGAAAGCCTAAACTAATAGTTGAATTATACATATATATTTATAGATTATATGTTCAACATGCTGCCTCATGTGTGTGGGCCGATTACTTTTCTGAAACCTTTCAGGTCACTAGGCCAAACATCTCCATCTCTGAATGCATTTGCATCAGGGCAGGCCGCGGCATACAAAATGTTCGAGACGATAAACCGAGAGCCTTCGATCGATGCATCAGACACGAGTGGGGTGGAGTTGGAAGACATCAAGGGCGAGATCGAACTAAAAGATGTGTACTTTAGATATCCAGCAAGGCCAGATGTGCAGATTTTTGCTGGATTTTCGCTTCGTGTCCCGAGTGGCAAAACTGCAGCACTGGTGGGTCAAAGTGGAAGTGGCAAGTCTACTGTTATCAGTTTACTGGAAAGGTTTTATGATCCTGATGCCGGAGAAGTACTTTTAGACAACATCAATTTAAAAAAATTCAAACTCAAATGGTTAAGAGAGCAAATGGGACTGGTGAGCCAGGAACCAATTTTGTTCACAGCTTCAATAAGAGAGAATATAATCTATGGTAAGGAGAATGCCACTGAAGAGGAGATTAGAACAGCTACTGAGCTTGCAAATGCAGCCAAATTTATTGATAAGCTTCCTAAGGTAACCTTTTTGTTTGTTTGTCTGTTTGTTTGGTTGTTTAAGGTTTAGCCATTTATGTAAGTCGCGAATTGAAGGAATTAATGTAAGATGTCTTGTTTCCATAGGGGCTTGATACCATGGTTGGTGAACATGGAACTCAGCTATCAGGTGGACAAAAGCAAAGAATTGCAATTGCCAGGGCCATTCTAAAGAACCCGAGAATCCTCCTCCTCGATGAAGCCACGAGTGCTTTGGATGCAGAATCGGAACGAATCGTGCAAGATGCACTCGACAGGGTCATGTCGAACAGGACAACTGTGGTTGTTGCTCATCGCTTAACAACTATCCGAAATGCTGACCTAATAGCAGTGGTGCAAAGTGGCAAACTTGTGGAGCAAGGTATGGAACTCAATAAGTACTAACAATTAATCTTTTGGAAACGAAACAATTATCTGATATTATCCATTCTCCGAACTGAATGTTAGGAACTCATGATGAGTTGATCCGAGATCCTAACGGGGCATATTCACAGCTAGTCCAAATGCAGCAAGGAAGTAATAAGCGAGACGAGAAGGTAACGAAAGAGGACGGTGATGCAGTAGAAATCACTACCGATTCAGATGATTTGATTAGGTCATCAAGCCACAGATTATCTGCAGTGAGAAGATCTTTGAGCCATGGATCATCATCAAGACATTCATTCTCACTCAACTATCTCATTCCAGGTCAAATTAACATTATTCATGAATATGAAACCAGAAATGATGAGGCCGATGACAAAGAGCCCGACGAAAGAACCCTGGAGAAAAGGAAAAGAGTTTCGATTAGGCGGCTTGCCTCCCTAAACAAACCAGAGTGGCCATATTTGGTAGTTGGAGCAATAGCTGCAGGCATCCATGGCCTGATTTTCCCTGTATTTGGGCTGCTGCTCTCCACAGCCATTAAAATTTTCTTTGAGCCTCGAGCTGAGCTGCAAAAGGATTCCAGGTTTTGGGCAACCATGTATGTGTGCCTCGGTCTAGTTAGTCTGGTAGTTGCCCCGTTACAGAATTTTTTCTTTGGAGTCGCTGGAGGGAAGTTGATTCAGAGAATTCGATCACTGACATTCAAGAAAGTAGTCTACCATGAAATCAGCTGGTTTGATGAGCCTGAAAACTCAAGGTACCTTACTAATTCTGTGTTAGGATCAAGCGCTTACCACTTTATTTTCTAAAACCGCTATCACATTTTCGAGAGGCAAGGTTCTTGACTTGACCCTTCACCAGCCTCTGTCCAACAATCCCCTAGTCACCAATTGCTGGACTTGGCCCTTTACCGGCTTCCCCCAACATATTGAATGTAACCAATTGCTTAACAAGAATTTCTCTTTTCCTCTAACGCAGTGGCGCAGTTGGGGCAAGATTATCCGCGGATGCTTCCACTATGAGGAGCCTTGTGGGAGATGCCTTAGCATTAATTGTACAAAACACAGCAACAGTGTTGGCAGGGCTTGCTATAGCCTTTGTTGCCAATTGGATTTTAGCACTTATAATCCTGGTTTTGTTGCCACTAATTGGACTGCAATGGTTCTTCCAGAACAAGTTTTACAAGGGATTCAGTGCAAATGCTAAGGTTTCTTAAAACAAAAATCCTTCTTTTTGACATATGATTTCACAAATACTGTGTCGATAATGTTTTTTCCACAATTCGCAGGTGATGTACGAGGAAGCGAGCCAAGTTGCAAACGACGCTGTGAGCAGCATAAGAACCGTGGCTTCGTTCTGTGCTGAAGAGAAGGTGATGGCTATGTATGAGAAGAAATGCGAAGGGCCGGTGAAGCAAGGTGTTAAAGTTGGTGTTGTTAGCGGAGCAAGTTTGGGTTTTGGCTCGTTAGCACTCTACCTTACATATGCCTTCTGTTTCTACATTGGAGCATTTTTCATTCATCACAACAAAGCAACATTTACAGAGCTTTTCAAGGTACTAACACTACATTTGACAGGTCTGATTTTAAGTTTTTAGTTTCCTTGTCCAATCTTAAACACATTTTCATCTGTGTTCAGGTTTTCTTCGCATTGACAATGTCAGCCATGGGGATTTCTCAAGCCACCGGATTAGCACCAGACCTTAACAAGGCTAAGGATTCTACTGCTTCTATTTTTGACATTCTTGACAGAAACCCGGAGATTGATTCTAGTAGTGAACAAGGCACAACGTTGTTAGCTGTCCGTGGAGATATTGAGTTGAAACATGTGAGCTTCAAGTACCCAACTCGGCCCGACATCCAAATATTCAAGGATCTATGCCTATCCATGCCTGCTGGAAAGGTATTTAACAAAACCTTCATTTGTTGGCTTAGCCTTCTTGGTTTGAGGCGGACCAGCTATGGGCAAATCTAAGCTGGTTTATCTCGCCTCAAGGCGGTGTTTATATTCATGATTTACATTAGGATTTCCATTTTCATTCATGATTTACAACTAACTAATCGAAACATCTATATGTTCTTTACAGACTTGTGCTCTTGTGGGAGAAAGTGGAAGTGGGAAATCAACAGTGATAAGTTTAATAGAGAGATTCTATGATCCTGACTTTGGAGAAATACTTTTGGACGGAGTTCCCATCAAGAATCTAAAACTGAGTTGGCTGAGGCAACAAATGGGGTTAGTGAGTCAAGAGCCAATCTTGTTCAACGAGTCGATTCGCGACAACATAGCCTATGGCAAGCATGGGGAGGTAACAGAAGAAGAGATTATCCAAGCTGCAAGATTAGCAAGTGCTCACAACTTCATCTCATCACTGCCCCATGGCTACGACACGCCCGTGGGAGAACGGGGGACTCAGTTATCCGGTGGGCAGAAGCAACGAATAGCCATTGCGAGGGCGATTTTGAAGGATCCAAAAATCTTGTTACTAGACGAGGCTACTAGTGCATTAGATACTGAGTCAGAGCACGTGGTGCAAGAGGCATTGGACCGAGTAATGGTGAGCCGGACTACCGTCGTCATTGCTCATAGATTAGTAACGATTAGAGGGGCGGACTTGATTGGTGTGGTCAAGAATGGAGTGATTATAGAAAAGGGAAGACATGAGGTGCTTATGGATATTGTTGATGGAGTTTATGCTTCTTTAGTTGCACTTCACGTGAAAGCAAGCTAAGTTAACACAACTATTTTATTTTTAGAGGTGTCTATAATTTAAAAAGGAAATTAATTACTGACTTATTGTGTCACGTTCAATAAGTTAACACAAACTCTTTTTTTGTTTTTGTAAAATTTATTTTTATTTTTTTTGAAAAAAAATTAATTCCTCCTACAGTCTCTTTCTTTTGTTACGGATATATATATATATATATATATATATATATATATATAGGGGTGATCACATGTGACCATGTTGTTAGGTGTGGTCATATGGTCAATTATAGGGCATTAGATTATATAGATCCAATGAATCATATTAATCCAGATTTTTCCAGTATTTTCGCGCACATTCTCCTACCCGGCGAACTGTAATGGTAAACTCGTCATAAAACACCGGAATAGAGAAAATCACATTGTTGTGTGTTTTATTACACTATTGGTGCATGTTGTCAACACTGTTGGTGTATTCTGGAACCCGGCCGCTATAAATGGCCACTGTAATTACCATAACACGGGAATACACCATTGGTTTGTTTCACTGTGGTGTATTTTATTACACTATTGGTGTATTTTGTCAATACTGTTGGTGTATTCTGGAACCCGTCCGCTATAAATGGCCACTGTAATTACCATAACACCCCTACTTACCAAAACGCGCGAAAATTCTCAGAATTATCACTGCCGTTAGATTAAAATGATTCAATGACACAAATATAACCACACGACCACACCTAATGACATGACCACATATGAGCGTTTTTCTATATATATATATATATATATATATATATATATATATATATATATATATATATATATATATATATATATATTGGTCGCAGTCATTCATTTTGGAATATTAATATTAAGACAAATCAATGATTAGTTGACTAGTTTAATAAGTAATATTTGAGAGAAGAGATCAAAATGGGCAGATCCCTTATGCACATCAGCATTTGACTATGTCTACTGAACGGGCCAAGGTGTTGAGATTAGATGTTGAACTTTTGATGAGGAAATTAATTGCGATGTACAAATAAGGAACGGTAAATTCTCAATCGTTATGCTGTGCAACCGTGTGCACCATGCATGGTGCACACGGTTGCAAAACGACGCCGTTTCATTTTTTTTTTTAAATCCTGTTCGGATTGTCGTTAACGGCATTAGCCGGTTCCCTTTCTTATTCAAACAGTAGGATATATTCACAATTTCATACATATATATCTACAATTACATAACTATATATCCAGAATTACATAACTATATATTCATAATTTGACAACAGTACATTCAGAAATAATAACTACACAATCATAATTTCATATCCATAAATTCATAATTTCACAACTAGACATTCATAATTACATAACTCCATATTCAGAATTCTTAAAGTGCTTGTTCACAGAGAACCATATCCATAATTGCATAACTACACATCCATAATTTCAAAACTATATATCTATAATTTCAAAACTATATATCTATAACTTCATAACTATATATCCATAAATATCATAACTATATATCCATAACTTCATAACTATATATTCGGACTTGCATAACTATATATTCATAATTACACGTCGATTGGAGTTTTTGTAAAAAAAAAAATGATTGGTGGATGTTGATATATTAAATATAATATATTTAATATAATATATATTAAATATAATATAATATATCTATAATATATATATTAAATATAATATCTATATATTATATTTATATATTGAGAAGAGAGAGAGAGGGGAAATAACTCTTTGAATTGATGATTAAAGAATGAACAATGGTAATATATTTATACTAATGGATAACCACTAATAAAGCTAAAGATTAGGAGTAATGTTCCATGTAAAGCTACAATTAAGGCCACAATCTATGTAGTGATACCATTCATAACCCACCTACTGCATCCATGCATTATTCATAACAAACTAATTTAATACTTGGTTTAACAATTATAATAATAATATTATTATAACATTGCCTCCTTTAAACCAAGTTGGATATATTGGTCATCCCAATTTCCTTCTTCAATTTGAGAAATGTCTCCGTCTTCAAGTTGGATATACTGACTTGTATTTCGTTCTGTAAATCCACTTGAGTCCAATTGACTTCTTTTCAGGAGGTATATCTGTTAACTCCCAGGTACCATTCTTTTCAATGGCACGGATCTCCTCATCCATCGCCTTAAGCCAATGAGTTTCTGTAGCAGCCTCCTCAAAAGTTAAAGGATCACAATCTGCAAAGAGAGCAAATTGAACAATCTCTTCATCAGACAGGTCATTATCATGACCCAAAACATAATCTTGCAAGCGAGCTGGTAAGTGGCGCTCGCGTTGAGATCGTCGAATTGACGACTCTGGCCGTGAAGGAGACTGGATATGATTTGGAATCGGTTGCTCATCAACAATATTTTCAACAACAGAAATAACAACTAAACTTTCATCTTTAGCTAACCAATCCCAGGCACCATATTCATCAAAAGTGACATCACGACTTACAACAACCTTCTTGGTTTCAGGATTGTATAGTTTATAAGCCTTTGAAGCGTCACTATAACCAATGAATATGCACTTCTCACCTTTATCATCCAACTTCTTTCTCAACGGATCTGGCACATGTGCATATGCCAAACATCCAAAAACCTTGAGATATTTGATAGAGGGTTTTCTCCCACTCCAAGCTTCTTCAGGTGTCTTATCACACACACTTTTAGTTGGACACCTATTCAACACATAGACAGCACAAGCAACAGCTTCTGCCCAAAAAGGCTTAGGCAGATCCTTAGATTTCAACATGCACCTCACCATATCCATGATAGACCTATTCTTCCTCTCAGCCACTCCGTTTTGTTGTGGAGTGTATCTAGCTGTCATTTGGTGTTGAATATCCTTTTCTTTCAGAAAATTGTCACAAGCAATATATTCTGTACCTCTATCAGTTCTCAAGATTTTAATCTCATAACCACTTTGCTTTTCAACAAAAGTCTTAAATTGTTTGAAAACATCGCATGCTTCAGACTTTTGCTTCAGAAAGTAAACCCATGTTCTTCTACTGAAATATCAATGAAAGTAATAAAGTACTTACAACCTCCATGTGAGGGAACCTCCAAGAACACAGGTCTGAGTGAACAATCTCCAACTGCTTTGTGGCTCTCCTTGACTTGCTCACGGGGAAGGGATCTCTATACTTCTTCCCAATCACACAAATCTCACAGATACGATCAGGGACATTCACAACAGGTAAATCAGAAATAAGTTCCTTTCTCGCAAGATAGTTTAACCCAGAAAAATGAAAATGCCCAAACCGCATATGCCATAACCAATTATCATCACAAACTTCAGAATTAAAGCAAGCAAGGAGAGTATGCTTAATTTTCAAAGGAAATAGTCGGTTTTGAGACATATTTACCTTTGCAATCAAAACTCCCTTAGCATCTGCAATGGTACAACACCCCTGAGCAATATCTATCTTATATCCTTTTTCTGACAAATGACCCATACTCAACAAATTTTGGTGTAGTTCAGGAACATAGAACACATCGGATATAAAATTGTGAGTACCATCCTTCAACTGAATAGAGATTTTACCTTTTCTCAAAATTGGCACTTTTGACTTATTGTCAAATGTCACTTCAGACCGGACTGATTCATCCAGTTCAGAAAACAATTCTTTCTTCCCACACATATGGTTACTACACCCAGTATCCAAGAACCATATGTTTTTATCTGCAGAAAAACTATCACTGGCTAAAAGTAAAGTTTCAGAACTCTCACCAGACTTTTCAGCAGTGTTTTTAGCAATGTTTGCTTGATTTCCACGATTGTTGTCCTCATTATACCAACAATCTGCAATCTTGTGCCCATACTTGCCACAATTGTAGCAATGAAATGGAAATTTACCTTGTTTGGTATTACCTCCACCTCTTCCTTGGTTGGAGTTACCACGTCTTCCTCCTTGGTTGAAGTTACCACGACCTCTTCCACTAGAACCTCCTCTTCCTCTTCCACGACCTCTACCAGATCCTCCACCTCTTTGATTAGTGCCAGTCACATTAAGGGTGACTTGACTCTTCAAAGCTTCTTCTGCTAGTGGTTCCGATTTTGACGCAATCCTGTCAACATGACTTTCTACTGTTCCTTTCAGCTCTGCAATTGTTAAGAGCTCAGTGTTGTGTGACTCTGTGATCGAAGCCACCACATGGTCATACTTCATCGGCATAGTTCGAAGAACTTTCTCAACCACTGCACCATCTTCAATTGTATCTCCGTATAACCTCATCTTATTCACCATATCAATAAGACGAGTGAAATACGCATCTACTGTTTCTGTAGAGGTCATCTCACAATTATCGTACAACCTTCTCAACGACTGCAACTTAGACTTCTGCGCCCGATCAACTCCTTTGTGTGACACCTTTAAGATGTCACAAGCTTGTTTTGTTGTTTGAGCACGAGCTAATTGCCCAAAAATGGAATAATGAACACCTTGGTGAATCTGACCCAAGGCCAATTTATCTCGTCGTATAGTGCCTGCTTCAGCTCCTTCTTGTAGACCGGGATCAACAAAGCTCCAAAGATTTTGAGCTTGCAAATGTGTGGACATCATAATTTGTCAATAATTGTAATCGACTTTTCCGTCCAATTTGGGACCCGACCATACAATATTCAAATTTGTTGTCATATTTCACTACGGGAAATATTTCAGGGTTGAAAGGTTGACTGACTCTGATACCAAATGTTGATATATTAAATATAATATATTTAATATAATATATATTAAATATAATATAATATATCTATAATATATATTAAATATAATATCTATATATTATATTTATATATTGAGAAGAGAGAGAGAGGAAATAACTCTTTGAATTGATGATTAAAGAATGAACAATGGTAATCTATTTATACTAATGGATAACCACTAATAAAGCTAAAGATTAGGAGTAATGCTCCATGTAAAGCTACAATTAAGGCCACAATCTATGTAGTGATACCATGCATAACCCACCTACTGC